TTCGTCGTGGAGGCTGAATTTTCCGACGGTGGTTCCAAGGATCCCTTCCTTGCCCACCCTGGCATTGAAGTCGCCAAGCACGATTTTGATATCATGACGCTCCAAGCGCTCATAGAAGAGATCCTTGGATGCCTCATCCTTCTCTTCTGTCGGGGCATGGACGCAGATGAACGAGATGTTGAAGAATGTCGCTTTGATGCGGATTATGGCTAGACGCTCGTCCACCGAGGTGAACGACAGTACTCGGCGACGGAGTCTCTCTCCCACCACAAATCCAACTCCAAATTTACGCTCCTTTACATGGCAGCTGTAGTAGACGTCGCAAGGCCCCAGACCCGAGTTAGTTCCCAAAAATTTCATGCATTTGTTCGGCTTATGCGCATTTTAAAGACGAAAATGCACGAGTTAAAGCAAATAAAGGCTATTTATGCAAATAGCCCGTTTGTCAACCGTATTAGTATAGTATCACGCAATCATGGGCGATCAAAGCACTCGTGGTGTTACATGAAAAATAACCATTGAAATTTTACTAACTAATACCTTGTTTATACCAACACATAAAGCGCTTTGACCCAGTTCGCTGTGATTCAAAACGGATGCATAAACCAAATTTCATTACACTCTAAATTTCAAAAGTGTATTGACTCGAAATTTATTTCAAATCGGTTTTTATTTCTTAAATCGGTTAGAAAACAGGTGTAAACACATCACTCATTCGACGCGAAGTGAAAATAGTCTGATTTTCTTTATACAGTCCGTTTTAAATTTGAATTATTATTAAAATAAATTTGAATTATTGTTCGCTTACATTTCGGTCAATCGCGCAAATCCATTATTAAAGAAGTGTCGAAATAAAACCAATTTTGTATATTTTTGAATACGGTTTCAGCGAGTGCGCCCCAAGGACACAGGTATAAACGCTTAAAATAATTATGTGTTAAGTCAAATTGGTTTTTTCTTAATGCAGTTGTGTGTTTTGTGGATCAAATCCTTTGTTGGACTATTCGAGGGGACTCAGGTATAATACCTTGTGAATTCTATAATAACACACTTTTCACTTAATATGTAAAAAAGCATATTGTAAATTACTTCTGGTTACAGATGGGAAACATGTAGATGAAATTGACGACCAAGTCGAACCGGACTTGCTGTATGATGATAGTTGCACGGATAAATAAGTGTTTTTTTGCATCTTCGAGAAGCGCCACGAGCTTCCGTCACATCTGAATCTTCAGATTATTGAATGGGAGGTTCATTCGGGCCCATTTAACATCCCTTGTGAATATTTGACGCGCTCGAGTAAATTTTTTTGTCACCCATTTTTGACCCTTCCGTACGCCCAACCCCACCATGCAAACCGGCAGATTAGTATATTTCCGTCATCAGAAACTCGTTTGATTTATTCACTATCAATATCTGACGCGCTTAAGTAAATCCATGTACATACCTGTTTTTTTTTTTTTTTTTTGGAAGCCTGTAGATCCTTACCACCACTGGAAGGAAAAACATCACATGACCTTTTTTTCTTCCCATCCATTATATAATCTTCGAAATCCAATAAGTCAAAATGACGCTCGAGTAAATCCCGATTTAGCAATTTTTAAAACATGTTATAAAATTTATACATACTTTGATTTTAGTACAAGTATTACAATTCTAAATGTGTTGTTTTATTTGTTTCAATAAGTATTGATTAAAGTTTTTTTTTACCTATTTTTCGTAAATCGTCATAAAAACAAAATATTATACTCTATTAAAATATTACTTTCAAATTTTATTTGCTTAATAATATATGTAGAAATCTTGTTTTTTGATTCGATTTCCCATATTCTTCAATATAAACTCAATAGTTTTGAATTCATGAAGATAAAGAGCATTTATGAATCCATACATACATACATCCATAAAGACTGTTAGTTTTAAATTTGTTTATCATATTTTAGATAAATATGTACATATTCAATATACTAGATCGTATCACTATATATGTACAATAGGGTGGTCCTTAAACGTAGGGAGCAAATTTTTACATCAGATTTCCTAAGCCTCAACCCCTACGTCGATGCTACTATAGTCGAAGATATCACATATAAATTTTTAAAACGTGTCGCACAAGGGGCAAAATTAATTTTTTTGGTCTAATACCCAAAATCTATGCTATCGTTACCGAAGGTATTACATATAAATTTTGGTCCCGATTGAATTCGGTTAAGGCTTGGAGCACAGGGGACGAAGTTCAGATTACCCTATGACGACGTCTTAGCGGTCTTCAATCGGGACTAAAATTTATATGTGATATCCTCGACTTTAGTAGTATCGCCTTAATCGGCTCAAATCGGGACCAAAATTTATATGTAATATCTTCGTTATGGTAGTACTGTTTTTGGGTATTATATGAAAAAAATAATAATTTTAATTTTTTGAGTCTCCATAGAAGAATCTGAGGAGAGACTCGGCCAAACACTAACATATGTGTAAGCGCCGATCTATTATTATTATTATTATAGAAGAATCTGAGCCTTTCACCATATGCGACACGACTTAACCGTCTCCAATAGGGACCAAGATTTATATGTGATATCTATGATAGTGGTGTTACCGATTGAAGTCATTCATTTGAGTTTTAAGGACCACCTAATGTACATACATACATAGTATGTATGGGGACTAAAAAAATAAAATATATTATTCCATTTGAAAATTATGTATGTATTAATTTGAGTTTGCTATGATAGAGCACATTAGGGGTATTCCCAAAGTATGCAAAACCCTTTTCTAATGGGTAAACTTTGCAACCCGTGCACGAGTTTTGCAAGACTAAGAGTACACCCCCATTATGTAATGTAGAAAAAACCTTTACAACGCCTAGTATTCGTAAAAATTGTAAGTATAAAATCGTTGTCGCTTGTACAGTGTGGTTAAAAAGTTTACATCGTCACCCTCAACGCACAAGGTCCTATATAAAAAATTTGAAACTCGAAAAACTTTTTAAATACCACGTACATATATGGAACTGCTCTAAAGATGAAAATAAATCTCATATGTTTTAAGATATGGATTTAAATTTCGGTGTAGGTGTGTATGTGAAAGTCAACTAACGGAATGTTTAGAAAACCATGTTTCCGAAATTTTTAAATACGACCTTTTGCTTTGATGATCACGATATGTATATTCTAGAAAAACTCCCTTGTGAGTGTCTAATGTTTACCTAGATCATGATTTAATTTTTTCGACACCAACACCAGGAAAAATTAAATACAGAAATTCAATTACCAGCTGATTATTTTCGGTTTTATGTTTTTAATTATTATTTAATGTGCATAAGTTTGCCTTTAATTATTCTTAAGATTATATTTAATACATAAGTTCTAAGTACAATCTTATACTAAAAACCTAATTTTATCATTGAGATTAACTAATTTAATGTGATTTTTTTCGCAGCGTACATATATATCGCTCGTTTACTAGTAAAGTGCCTTACAAGTTTGTGTTTTTAACAATGTTTTTGGCCTAAATTCTGCTCTTAATCTTTGTTTAAGCACTATAAACTGGAAACAATCTGATAATTTTTTAACGAATTTTCGTCATCTCTCGTTGATTTGGAGTCAAATTGATTTCGGCACTTTGTCACATTGGTCTAAACAAAAAATTGAACTAAGATGATACAGGACCGAAGACAGTTTGGGATCAAATTAAATTTGACAGTGGATGACAGCGATTCGCCACAATAAACAAATATCTTATCCTGTCGGAGACAGCAAACAAAAAGAAAAAACTTCGCTATGACTAAGATAAGGATCATAATCTCGCATTTTTAGTAATATATTTAATATTTAAGTAATCTCCCTTGGATTTTCTAGCAAACGAGCTTAATGTATTTATGCCAAATAATAAGTTAATATGAAGTTGTTATAATACTTGCGAAACAAACAACTTTGAACAATCTCTTTCGTGGTAACTTTATACAAAAAAGGCCTTTTAAATAAAATGATAAAACGCAACTAAAAAGAAGCCTAAAGTATGGGTGCATTCGAAAACGTCCAAAATACTAAGTATTCGTTTTTTTTTTTTTTTTAAGCCTCGGCAGATTGTAATGCCAAATGTGCGCAACCACGATTAATCATAATTTTCAACTAGGTTTAGAAATAAAATAGACTGATTCTTTGTTTTTTGACGTTTTCGAATGCGCCCTATTTGTGAACTTTTTCTTCAATTTTAAAACTTTGCATTGCATTAATACTACTAACGTTAGTCAACGTTACTATGTGATTAATTTCATCATGTTAAGTAATTATATAGTTACAGTCCATATGGAGCCCCCTAATTTCGTGGAAATTTCAAATACATGTATATACGTAACTACTTAAGCATGCATAGTTAGGTTAGTTAGAAGAATATTGTTATTGCAATGGTTACATACTATGTCTACTGCCGTTTGCAAAACCTTTACAGGTTTATGTATGTGGATCAGTAACTTTGACGTACACGAGAGTTGGGCCGATTATGTCGTCGCTTATGCAAATACAGACCTGCCGCTTGCGCAAACGCCGAACCACATATTTTACAAACATAACGTTTGATAGCGTCATGTATTTGTTTGTGATTTTGTAGATTTTTAAGCGATTTAAATGATTTGCCGCAAATTTCGCATTTAAACTCTTCATCGCTGTAGTGCTGCCGGGCATGTTCCATCATAGAGTGACGCGCAGTAAATAAACGCCCACAATGTGGGTAATCACAACGGTATGAACGATCGCTGGCGTTTGTGTGTTGTGCACGATGAGAATTGAGATAAACCATATTCGCAAATGATTTCCCACAGATGTCACATGAATAGCATCCATCATAGTCATTATTTTCCATTTTCATCAGAGAATTACCGTCTTCACTACCCAAAGGCGGAATGTTAGCCAATGAAGGCAGTAATAATTCATCATTATGCCTTCGCATATGTTCATCGTACACTTCTTTGGTACGAAAACTGGCCGTGCATAAATCACACCAATATTTGACTTCTTTATGTGTCGGTGCATGTATTTGTTTGTGTTGATTTAGCTGATCGACATCTGAAAAGCTAACAGGACAAACGTTACATGCATAACTACCTTCAGGCTGATGAGTGCTAAGGTGAACTTCTAATTCTCGTGGCGACTGCACTATTACTGGACAAAAATCACATTTGAATGGCGCGATATCAGCATCCATAAAAAGCATTTGATCATAGTAGGTGTAGCTGGGTACAAATACTTTATTATTTTGCTCGCAGAGCAGACGTTCCTGTTTTTGCTTGGAATAGTCGAAACGTAATTGCGAAATACGCTTTGATATTTGTATGGTGGATACGTCAATCATCTTTTGCAATTCAGTTGCCATTTGCTGCAACGCCTCTCCGCGCTTTTCCTTACTGCGATAATCGATGTTGTATTTGTTATAAAAGCATGGATACTGCTCAACCATTGATAACAGTTTAGTAGTAGAAACATCATTCCACAATGCAGAGTAGCGACGTCTGTATACAGTCTCCTGAAACAATAATTAAAAGTGATGGGAATAGTTTTCCTCATACATACATGCATCACAGCTGTAAAGAATTGCAATCAATTTGGATGGCAATCGAAAAATTTACTTCACATTTTATATTTCTTGTAAATGATAGTAAATTGTAATTTTTACCGTCATTGATATAGAAGATACAGAAGAGTAAAATCAAATGTGCCTGTCATTTGATATGTTCATTGGACAATTTAAATGTTGTTGTTGTTGTAGCAGCATACAAGCTCCCCAAAGAGTTTTTGGGGAGTGTTGCTGGAGTGACAGTCCTTGGCCAAATATAAATCTGGGTCGTTCCGGTTACGTAGACCCGACTGTTGTAATGCATTAATGGTATTTAAAGCAATAATGTTAATGTAAAATGTTAATGCATTAATTTATGAAATTTAATGCAAATGAATATTTCATTGCATTAATTCTGAAAAATGTAATGCTAATGAAATTTTTTTTCCATTAAATTATCCAAGCTAATGTTAATGAAAAAATTTTAATGCACTAAAATGTTTAATACCTTTGCTCGTTTTCATTATTAAAAACCATTAAATTTTTTTCTAGTGAAATATAAATAACCTCTTTTGGAAGGACTTGGACTAATTAATAATAGTTTTTTCAGCTTCATTATATTTATGTGTATTTGTAGAAAAATTCTTCTAAACATTGTTAGCCATTTTATGAAAATAAAAACCAATGTGCATGCAACTCAGGGTGCTTTTGTAGATTTTTATGTTGATTGTTGATGCATACCGATTACATATATTATGAGCCAAAAACGGACAGATAGCCAATTTAGCAGCGCATGTACACGACTGAGGACCTACTCTGGTCTAAATTAATCAATAAGCCGTTTTTTGGTTCCATTTGCCAATGTGTTTTTACATATTTAACGACAAATGCCATTGAACTTGACATAGTGAAAACCAGCCTTAACGTCAGCAAAGAATTATTACTTCAAAATTAAATTAGTTAATGGGTTTATAATGCTTATTATAATTTTGATGCAATAAAATATTGCAATAGCATTCATTTAAACATTTTAATGTTAATACAAAAAAAAAAAATTAGTAGCACTATTTCTTCGGAATTAATGCATTGAAATTTTCATTTACATTAAATATCAAAAATTACTGCATTAATTTTTTCCATTTACATTAAAATGCTATGCATTTAAATTACGCCCACTTTCCACTTTCAAAAAGACGCGTAAAAACGTATGGTGCGTTGCTTTAAAACGTTGCACGGTGGATTTTGTATTCTAGCAGCTGAAGGAACGTATACTAAAAATTTGAGACTTGTGCTCGCGATTTAAAAATAAAAAAAACTTTCACAAAAAAATTCGAAGTTTCTGAGAATTGCCCATATACATAGGATTGCGAATGATTCTCTAGCGCCGAGCCGTTGAAGGGCTCTGGGCAAATAAACGTGAAACAAATATTAGTATCGATATCGTATTAAGTCCCATCAATATTCTTATTAAGTCCCATCAAAAAACATCTTGTGGTTTAAAGAATAAAGGGAATGGTCCATTATACTAAAGCCAGCCTTCCGACATAAGCTATTATTCGATACGAACACAGATATGATATCCATACATAAATATGCATCTACACAGTGACGTGCGTGACATTTCAACTCACATTTTAAGGCTTAATTCTTCAACCATAATCAAGACGTACCAACTACAGGTGATAGCGATAGAAGCCATGCTTCTTCTTATGAGCACGCTTGTGTCAAATTATCGCCTGTTTTGCTTTGTTTACATATCCGCGTATATATACACATAACGTAAATATATACCCTGCAAACAAATGTTTCCGAAATCTTTAAGAGCATTGGAAATTTGTCAAGATTCTTTTAGGAATCTTAATTTCAAAAACAATTGAATCCAAACGAGTTATATAAATTTTAGTCACTGTGACTGGTGTGACAAGTACGCAAACCAAATTAGCTACTTTTAATATTTTTATTGAGCTTTGTACTACGATTTTTTATAGGAAAAATTGAAAAAGCAACAAAGTCTAAGCGGTAGAAGTTATAGCACTATTTCGGAGAGCCACAATAACATTGACAAATTAGCTACTACCTTCTTGTATAATAGTATTTCTGTTGATTACGTCTTCTGCTTGTGGTGCTAAATAGTTCGTTGTATAGTTAAATAAACGTTTTAAACATTTACGCCAAAGTAAGCTTACTTCTATTAGCAATTATAGATTGTATGTTCCAAATTCAACTGTGACGGGTGTGACTTGACTTTGTGACGGGTGTGACAAGTTGAGCATGAATAAACAAATACACAGTATTCTTAACTAACTTTATTTCTCAAAAAATCAGATTTTACGAACACATAAAATATTCTGCCGCCTAAAGACGGGATAATCCTTGATCGGACTTTTCATCTCCATTGCCTGTCAGAGTCATTGTAAGGTATCTTATTTTTAAATAGAACTCGGGGTAGCCAACTCATTTTCGATAATTCTACGATCTCGACAATGAAATCCCCGATTTTGTCCAAAATTTCGTAAAATTCCCCACCTATAGGTATCTCCTTATTTACAAAAAAAAATTATGTGTTTTGGCATATTGGTGGTCTTTCTGTTTATTTTATTTTTAAATGTAATTCATCTACATATGTATTCATAAACCAAACCAAACGTTTATAAAGTTAGTTAACAATTTTCAGAATTATTTTTTTTTTTTAATTTGAGTTATTTTTTTTTTCATCTGGTTCATTCTTTAACAAAACCCATATAAATCCAAGTTTCAAACTTTGTGCAATATTACAAACTTTCGTGAAATTTTCGAGCTTTTTAATTCGATTTTCCAGAAAGATTTTGTAGCCCACTCAATCTAAGAAAAAGCAAGTTTCAAGTGGCTAAAAATTTTCGTTTTAGAATTTTTTTCCTAAGGTGTTGCGCTTTACTTCCATATAAAAATAAATGGTTTATTCGCTATATGAAAGCCAATGTGACAAGGAAAATTCCAAAAAAATCAACGGTAATTAGCATAATTGCAGGGTTGCATAATCAGTACTTTTAGTTGCAGTTGCATTTCTTATGCAACTTTTTTAACTCATTATGAAATTAGTGAAGCAAAAAATAAAAAAAAAGCTAACACCTAATTCCTCACAAGGAACAGCTCAACCCCCGATTTCCCATGTAAACTGAAATTCCCAACAAAAAACGGCTCTTTTCCCAGATTCCCCACGCAATCTGAAATTCCCGGCAAATCGGGGAAGTCCCCACGAATTCTTCCCTGATAGTACTACAGATTTAATGAGGCTGTTACCTGTCAAACCATATGAGATAATGTTTTTGCCTACACAAAAGAAGTAATGGTATCTTTTTATCCGTGACAGCATCGCTTAAGTTTTCCCATCGCTTGATGACAAGCAGATATATGATACATTTCAGATTAGCAGATAAGTAACGGTAGCAGTCCCTGGCCGAATTTATTAAAATTTGTCAAACTTTAAATTATGACGGGAGTGATATGTGACGGGCATGTTTTTTTCGAAAATAAAAGCATATAAATACCTAAAAGCAATTCGCACATATTCCTCTGTGATATAGTGTGCGTTACTTTCGTCAGGTTTTTTACATTGGCCAAGATATGTTTTCCTTCAAAAAATAACTATTTTGTGTATTTTGTGACGGGCGTGATATTAAAATATGCTTTGATTCAATATACAATGGGCCGTATGCATAAAAAATAAGCAATTACTTTTACTTAAAATTTCATACCTTTCACTTAAATTTGTTTGAAAAAATCGAGTAAAAGGTCTGACATTTATAGAAACGGCATTTGCTTAGGTTTTATGCATACGGCCCAATAAAATATTTAGTACTTGCCCGAAAAACTTGAATTACACTGCTACAATGCTGACAAATGGTTCTCTGCATTGACCGTTTAAACCATGCCAAAAGACAATAGACTACGAAAATCAGCCTTGTCAATTTTGAAGAAAATTAACCTCTCATATGAGTTTGAAAATAGTACAACCTAAAGTACCTTACCTTGTTATGTTTTTAACATGACAAAAACTTGAATCTGAACACGAAATCAGAATACAAGAAAGTAGAAAAGTTTTTGAGATATTGCCAAATTTCGGGTTTTATTGATCTAAAAAAAATGCACTAACTTAGTTGTAACTTTCTTTCGATGCAGTTAGCCAATCCTAAATTTCTACTTTCTTGTATTCTGATTTCGGATTCAGAGAAAAATTCATAATGTCGCGGTTGGCCAACTACATCCAAAGAAAACTGCAATTAAATAAGTGCACTTTTTTCAGATCTCAAAAGCGTGAAATTCGGCTAAATCTCAAAAACTGTTTTACTTTTTTGTATTCCAATTTCGAATTCGGATTCAGTGGAAAATTCTTCATAAAGCGTCTACAAAAATGTCGCGGCTGGCTAACTATATCTAAAAAAATTTTAATTAAGTGAGTGCATTTTTTCAGATTTCAAAAACCCGAAATTCGGCTATATCTAAAAAAAACTGTTGTGCTCTCTTACATTTTAATTTCGTATTCGGATTCAGCAGGAAATTTTACATTAGAATGCATCCAAAAATATAGCTGGTCGGACAATTTTTTCATTTCTGTAAACTTGTGTTATTGCCGACAAAAATGCATATAAAAATGTCTCTGGTCGGACAATTTTTTCATTTCTGTAAACTTGTGTTATTGCCGACAAAAATGCATATAAAAATGTCTCTGGTCGGACAATTTTTTCATTTCTGTAAACTTGTGTTATTGCCGACAAAAATGCATATAAAAATGTCTCTGGTCGGACAATTTTTTCATTTCTGTAAACTTGTGTTATTGCCGACAAAAATGAATGGCGGACCCCAGTTCGTTCTGATGAAAAAACTGTAGTCGTTTTGCCACGCCCAGCACAAATTATATATCGCTTGAAAGCTTGGAAAATAAGCTATTCACATAAGCCATTCGCGAAAAAAATGGTACATTGTTTAAAAAATGCAATAAATTTGTTTTATTGCAAATTTTTTGCAAAAAAAATTTCAAAAAATTTCAATTTCCACCACGGAAAGCACGGTAAACGTTCTAATAGATCAGCAATTTTTGATTCCTTCTCATAAGTGTGACATGAGATAAGAATTTTAAGAAAACTTGTGCTAAGAAAAAGTGTTGAAATTTCATATTTAAATTCGTATAACTCGACAAAAAACCATAGCAACAACGTGGTGGAGATTGAATAAAATGCTGCAATAAAATGTTTTTCCTCGCACACTTGACGAATTTTGCCCCAGACCAAAATTCTTTGGGACTACAAAACTGAATAACCAAAAAATATGTATATAAAAGTGTTAATTAAAAATTTGTTGGAAACTTTTTGAATATCGCTAAGTTTTTGTCAATTTTGTAGTGATTGCATCATTGTTTTATGTATATGAATTTTATTGTAGAATGACATTTTTAATATTGAGAAAAACCAAATTACTAATAGTTCTGTAACTGTATATATATATATATATTATTTTTACCTACCTTCACAATAGCCTCCGTCATCTTTTGATTGCCACCATATAACCGATTAATGAAATGTAAGTCCTTGAAATACCACAATGTACTGATATTAGTATTTTCCAATGCCATACGATTACACTCTCTTTTATATACAGTGCGTAAATTGTCCCACTTGCGAGTAACTGCATCTTTAGCCAATGACAAATTAAAACGTCGTTTGAATTCCATTACAATCCACTCAAGAAAGTGCTGACGTTTGGCCCGATCACGAAATTGTGGATGACGGTGGTCCCACAAGAAAGTATTGCGCCTATATGAATCGATAAGGAATTGTATCATTTTACGATCCTTTATATGCATTGCTAGACCAGAGTCCTAAATAAAAAAAAAATATATATATTGTTTTATTAAATTAACATTAATGTAATATTTATGGCAATGTCTACAAACACACGCGCCACGGTAAAATTAAGTGGATTATGTGTTGACGGAGAAGTGGGGCAGAACTTCTTTATGCGTAGGCGGCCTTCGGCCGCGCTTAGGGATATAATCCTTATTACTCAGAATTCTCCTTTCTGTGGTGCCGGAGAAGTGGGACAGAACTTCTTCTACGTAGGTGTCCTTCGGCCGCGCTTAGGGATTATAATCCTTACTACTCAGAATTCTCCTTTCTGTGTTGCCGGAGGAGTGGGACAGAACTTCTTTCTGCGTAGGCGGTCTTCGGCCGCGCTAGGGATTATAACCCTTAATACTCACCATTCTCCTTTCTGTGGTGCCGGAGAAGTGGGACAGAACTCATTTCTGCGTAGGCGGCCTTCGGCCGCGCTTAGGGATTATAACCCTTACTACTCAGAATTCTCCTTTCTGTGTTGCTGGAGAAGTTGGACAGAACTTCTTTCGGCGTAATTTTTACCGTGGATCTACGGTAATTTTTAACGTGCATCCACGATAAAAGTTACCGTGGCGCGTGTAAGTAGACACACCCTATATATATATACCGCTCCGTTATTTCCTCCCAATAAAGATTGTTCAACTAAATCATCATAATTATTTTCATCTTCCTCATCTCTTGGATAAATAGGATCTTCCTCATCATCATTGTTGGTATAATCGTCATAATTTCCGTAATCATTGGTATAGTTGTCTCCGCCTCCTTCCATTACAACCTCAGGCTCAGTACGTTCTTGCTTTACTGGATAAATGGAATTATCCGCTATGCCTCTTTCACTAGGAAACCCAGGAGTTATTGAATTATCTGCTTGTGGTAGTTCATGTTGCTCCTGGAAGAAATTTAATTGTTATAAAGGTAAGCTATAGCTAGAGATAATATGTATTTACTTCATCAACTTCTTCCTTGATCATAACTGTTTGTGGTACCAAAAGTGAGGGGTCCGTATCGGTAAGATCTTCAGTACCTTCACCACTTCGGCCGCTATTTGTTTCACCATAAGAATCATCATATCCGAGTCTAAAAAGGGTGTATTTATTGCTGATAAAACAGTTTTGCTACGTTATGATGATATTAATATGTGCGCGTTCGTAATATCGATTTAACTCTCAAGTTGGTTACATTCCATTTGATATGTATATATATTTACTCACAATTATATAAACCTATATAGTAAATATATACGTATATATATACAAACATATATTTTGCGCAACTCTGGCTTGGAAAGGCAATCACTTTTAATAACACACAAACACGTACTAGGTACTAACTTACCCTAGCATACCACCAAAGAAACCTTTTTGATCCATTGCTTGAGTTCCATGGTCGGTTTGCATGTGTCCTATAAATGCATCGAAATAGAGAAATTTGGCCGGGCAAAACATACAACCCAAAGCAAAGAATTGCTGATCCTCTGTGGCTGTGATAATGCCGCACTCTTTCGTACACAAACGGAAGATGTCTTCATCGCTTGTTGGTTGATATGGTAAAACACTCATCTCGAACTACCAAAATTTAGGAGATAAAAAATAGATGATACAATTCTTGTATTTTCACCGAATTTCTGCTTTTTAACTATTTTCCGATAATTCCTCTTCTATTTTAATCCCACCACCATTCGCCAATTATTATTTTTTTCAGTCTGACATAGCACTGCGACATCGATATCGATGTTTGTAAAATATCGCTGTTTTGAGACAACATCGAGTGGTTTGAACATCGATTTTACTGCCCGATGTTTTACCAACATCGATATTTGCTTCGATGTTTTTCTTCTATGTTCATTTATTATTATTTAATTATTTAAAATTTATTATGATGCACTCTCAAATATATTCTAATTAAAAAGTTGTTAATTTGCATGAAAGTTTGTTGAATTTTCCCGAGTTTTGCATAAAGTTTAGAAATTATACTATTTGTTGTAGTATAAACTTACTTTTTACCGGCAGTGTTTATTTACCACTATTTGATTTTTTTACTTTTTGTCATAGTTTTGCAATACTCATTTACTTTTCGCAAAAGTATCTCATTATTTGTAATTTCATGTTTTTTTTTTTAATGACTTGTTAGGCACGGTGCACTTTAGAGCGATACGATATGCGAAGCGATATGCGATACGATTCGCGATGCGATATAAAATGCGCGCAGTGCACATTAGAGCGATGCGACACACGATACGACACGCGATACCATATGCGGTGTGATAGCAAACCGTGTCGCACAGCCGATATGCATGCGATATTATGTCGCAGCGGTGTCGCACGGCCGATACGCATGCGATATTATGTTTTCATCGCTTCCTACCAATTCCCACGTACTCAGCATATCGATGTCGCTTCGTATCGTATCGCGTATGATATCGCATATCGTATCGCTCTAATGTGCACCGTGCCTTATGTTTTGCTGAGTTTATGTCATTCATCGAAATAAAATTGTACCCCTGCAAGAACAGTGACCATCATTTGACAAATCATTTGACTGGCAAGGCTGATAGAGATTTCTGTCACTGGCTACCTACAAGTTTCTATCACATTCTAAAGGGCAGTGTGAAAAATCTGATGTAAACATTTGTGTACATATGATCTTCCGTCTTCTTCCAACTTATGGCCTTATATATTGGTCTTTTAACCAACGCAAAATTTGCAAATGTGTTAGTAAGATAAATGAGAATGTGTTAGTTTCCATCACACAATTCTTGTAGGGGTGACTATCATTTGACAAATCATTTCAGTGGCAAGACTGATAGAGATTTCTGTCACTGGCTACCTACAAGTTTCTATCAAATTCTAAAGGGCAGTGTGAAAAATCTGATGGAAACTTTTGTGTACGTGTGATGCTTCATCTCCTTCTAACATACACGTTCTGGCATATTGCTAGACTGCTTACTCCCTTTGAGTTCGGCCTTCAAATTTTAATCATCAGTGATGTAAATCTTCGACAATTATGAGTGATCAACCTTGATAGAAATATAAGTCAGTAATGTGCAATCAAGTTTGATGTAATAACCCAAGAATGATAGAATACAAGATTGCGCCGATCAGAGAGGATTTTTGAGAATAACTTTTGGGTGACGTCACACTGGTGCAATCGCGAGAGAGAAATGCCAAAACGTGAGCAAGAATGGAAGAAGAAGAAAAAATGTTGCAAGGAAAACGTAAACAAGTTGCACCAGTGTGACGTCATGCAAACAACGATTCTGTCAAATTCGTTAAGAGAGGAATAGCGGTCCGAGATCGGCGCAACCTTTGTATTCTCTCAATCGTGGTCTTAACCGATCAATCATGACACATCAAGTCTGCTATATTTTCATATCATTGTTGATTACTCACAGTTGATGTAAAAATTCGTCTAGCCTGATCTCTCTCCCACGATATAGAAATCTATCATTAATGACACATGTAATACTTGTTTTTTCTTTTATTTTCATAAAATCTTATGAACTAACTATTGATCGTCAAAAAATTAGAAGCTAAGTACATTAAATCAAATTAGAAGCTAAATACATTACCCTAAGCACAGTACATTAAACATTAATAAACAAAGGAAATGTGGCCAAAAATTAAGCAAAATAAGGTGTTTCTATTATTTTTGCCACCAACGTACATATGTACATANGTAAGGTGTTTCTATTATTTTTGCTACCAACGTACATATGTACATACTTAAAATTAATATCCTAATATTAAACATTACATTGAGCTCAATTGCCTTCCTGATTTCTTTTCGAACTCAACAGGACCTTTCTTTTTAGATGCATCTAAGTGGATTGAAATACATTATCAAAAAATTTGTATTGTTAAAAGATATGTACATATGTATACGGT